ATTCCCGCACCCCGACAGCTCGGGCCTGTTTCTGTGAGGGACGTGCGGGGTGGCCAGGGGTGGGACATGACTGCGTCTGTGCGCGGGGATGAGAGCTGCTCCGAGCTGTCGGAACGGGAACATCGGGAGGGCCACTGGTTCCTATGTGTGGGGCATCTTACTGTATGGGCAGTTTACAGACTCGCCCTTTGAACACTGTTTAAGCTAAATATAGCCAGCTCGGGCCTGTTTCTGTGAGGGACGTGCGGGGTGGCCAGGGGTGGGACATGACTGCGTCTGTGCGCGGGGATGAGAGCTGCTCCGAGCTGTCGGAACGGGAACATCGGGAGGGCCACTGGTTCCTATGTGTGGGGCATCTTACTGTATGGGCAGTTTACAGACTCGCCCTTTGAACACTGTTTAAGCTAAATATAGCCCTCGGGGATGTTCCCACCCGATTCCAGCACCGCAGGAGAGAAAATGAGGCCGGGAGAGGGAGAAGACTGGCCTGCTGCCCGTGGCGGCGTCCGCGGAGCCAGCGTGAAACTCCACTTCCAGCCCGTGCGTCTCTGACCCAGGGCCCTCGCGGAGGCAGTTGTGAATAAAGGCCGCGCCAGACGGGCTGACAGTTGCTTAGACTTCCGTGACTCCGGGGCCTGGGTGCTCACAGTTTGGTTCTCTGTGGGTTCTTTGAGTCCTCAGATGGAGAATTCGGTAGATGGCTTGTGGTTTATTGGTAACGCCACCAGGGCAGAAGTGTGGTGGAGCCGTTCTCAGAACAAAGTGTTAACAGTCCATCCGTATCTATTAATTAGGCTTTCGCCACGTTTTGAGCTTTATAATATCATTTTGTGCAACCGAGGGGAAAAGAACGATTAATCTGCAAGCTTTGCTAATTATGAACCTAAAAAAAGGTGAATAATAAAATAATAAAAGTAAACAAATTCTTGCCTTTTCCTGAACAGATCAGTGTTGTTTTCATAGTTTTCTCATCAGTCTTTGACGACGAACAAAAGAAGGGGGAGACTGCTTACAGGAATTTCTAGGTAACTCTGCTACAAGATATTTAAAGGAAAAGTGAGAAAGTAATTTTAGTGGGAAATGTGTTTTAGAAATGAAAGTAGCATCACAAATCTTCACCCATGTCTTTGAACTATTTTCTTTAAAACACAGTTTTACCTCTGGACACAACCGTAATCAGTTCTGTGTGCTGTAAATTTTATCGCGTTCATTATTGATACCCTTTACTAAAATGCTTCAGAGAAAGTGAATTTGAGACTAAATTGTGAAGTAGGTTGTGTTTGCTTCGGAAACATTCCTTTGCACCTCATGTTTTTTTAACTTTCACAACAATAAGCAGTCACATGGGAGAGGGAGTGAAAAAGCAGCTACAGAAGGAAGGAATATCTTTATTTTTAATAATTTCAGAAATCATCCTGATTAGGTCATTAACACCTTGTGTGACTTTGTGTTAACCATTCTAAGAGTACTTCCACTTTTGAAAGAACCAAGTGTCCTCTAATGATGAAAATTTTAAACAATGTGGTTCTTGAGTGAGGTAGAGGCCTGGAGGCCAAAAGGACATGGTCAGCATTCCACAAATGGCACCATAAAGGCATTTGGTGACTGAGATCAGACTTAAGACTGGTCGCACTCCAGATTCCTGGTCTGATGTATGATTACTTCCTGAAAAGAGAAAATATGTTAATGTTAAAAAGTTTAAAATACTAGAATCTGTTTTCTTCCCTTGGTGTATTTGTGCACTTTAGAGAATTTGAGCTTAAATCGGTTACTTTACTTTTATATTCCAGATTTTTTTAAGTAATAGATGAAATAGACTTCAAAGGTATGCTCTGTGAATTATCAACTGGAAAATGTGTCCCAAACAGAAGTGTTAAAGCCATATAATTAGTGGAAAAGGAAGCTAGATACCAATTTAGGTATCAGTAAACATTTTCTTTCATGTAAAATGACGAAAAATATATTCCTTAACCTTTAATTACTTTATAGAGATAATCTGAAACAGAAGACTTTGCTACATATTTTGGTTTTTAAAAAATTATTGTCATAGGAAAGCATTTGTTTTCCTAAAACCAAAATCAAATTTAAGAATAGCCAGGACTTTAGAAGGAATTTGTTAAATAAAGACAATATGGTAGAGATGTATCTAGTACCTAGAGCAGAGTAGGCATTTCAAAAAACAGTGCTTGGATTTTCGTATTAATGGAACTCAAATCATTTTCATGATATAAAACTGCAGGTCCGAAGTTCTAGATTATTTTTTTTGGGTGACGAAAGTGTTCCGAAGTGTATTGTGATGGTTGCATAACTGTGACTGTAGTAAAAACCATTGAATTGTACCCTTTCAAAGAGTGAATTGTATGTTATGTGAATTATAGCTTAATAAAACAAGTATCAAAATAATTCTAGATTATCATTAGAAAATCTAAAAAGGAAAATGTCAGTGATATTTGCTGAGGTTTGCTAATTTGTTTTTATTATCTAATTTCAACACTTAAATATTTTGTGATGAGTTGATATTGAAATCCTATTAGTAAGATAGTTTACTGCCTTTTTATGGCTGTTTGTTTGTCTGCTTGTTTTTAAAGGCCTGATTATTGAGACATCCAGTCAACAGGAAAATATGAATGATTCTAGGCAGCCGTCACTCTTTTTCATCACCCTTCCAGATTTACACAAACTCTGTGCTGTCAGGATAGTATTGAGCAATAGGATGGCAGATTCAGAGGTTAGGAGTACACAAATGAAGATGTGCAGGTAAAAAATACATTTTATAAATAACGGTTTCTATACTTCTTGAGACCTGTAAGAGCTGTTTTAGAAGTATCTCCTTTAAAGCGTAAAACTCATTAACTTAATCTGTGTATATAATTTCTAAATAAATTCAGTTTTGTTCTGACCAGGTATATAAGATTGCATTTAGGGAAGGATTTAAAATACCTGAGATAGAATATCTCACTGTTGAGTTTTTATATATTTGTAACTTCTTACATGCTCGTTTTAATTTAAATTTTGTATAGTCATTGATGAAATAAATCAGGTTCCCCAAAACTTAAAAATAGTCATTAACAAATATTTACTGAGTACCTGCTGTTTATGAGGCACTTTAACAGATACGTAAACATTTTAGATTAATAAAATTTCTTAATTTTCAGGTCAATATAAGAATATTTCTGAAGAGTATTTTTCCAATAATTATCTTTAAATATCTGACCCAAGATAGTCTGGAAAACAGTTTCGTTGAACCCTAAAGTATGACTACTAAGGACTCAACATGCATTTGTCTCTTAAATTGTTTGAGGCACTCAAATAAAGACTCTAAAAATACATGGCAAGATTATATCTGTAACTGAATATTTTGGAGAGGAGCAAACACTCAGAAGATAGCTAGGAGCCAGAAATAAGAAAAACACTTCTGGGGTGTTCTCCATTTTGTTCTTATTCACAAAACTTTGCTTTTCCCTACTGTATATTTTCCCACCTAAGTGCATCCAGGAACCTCTACACTTCCTGCTTAGGTATAATTTGATATCTACTGAGCATTTACCTGTGACTCCTTTGGGAAATAAATAGGTAGAAAACTGTATGTGAGATTTTCTGCTCTTTGCCCTCAAAATGAACAGGGCCATCCATGCCCACAGAGTGGGATGTTTTGACTCATTGTCCCAGTAATTGACACAGTGGCTGGAACAGAGAAAGCAGAGAGCTGGCAGTGTCAGACAAAGGCAGGTCTTGCAAAAGCAAGCACCTGTTACACCAGGGTTCTGACAAAGATAGGGCCACCAGAAACAGGTAATCTCACCTCACTTTTCGAGGTAACCCCCTGACACACACACACTTATGGTTTTTTAGATTAGTTTCCTTGATGATTAGTAACTGAAAATTTTTATATTTCCAACTCTATTCTCTTTCGTATTTTTCTCACTTTTTCCTCGACCTTTAATGTAAAATCATTGATGGTAATTTGAATTGTGATGATTTTCATTTTAAGTTCATTTGATTCTTGAGTACTAAATTAAAATCACTACTCATGTCATTCTGGCTTGGAAAAAAATTCACCTTTGAAAGAAAAAAACCTGGTCAGTAGTTCTAACGTTGAAGTTGTTGATAACTCCACTGTAGTTGAATCCTAGACTGTTGCCTCCAATAACCCCTGACCACCACTTAAAAAAAAAAAAAAAGAAAAGGAAAGAAAATGGAAGAAACAGGAGTTAAAAGACCTGGGTTCTTCCATGTTATGACTTCTGTAAGGACAGAAATGGAGTTTTAATAGAGGAATTTAGGTTCACAGATGAAAGAGGTTAGGAAACTCAGATGCAGGGACAAGTTTTCATATTAATACCAATATCTAAAACTTAAGAATTCTCTTCATTCGTACCTTGCCTGAGTGTCTACCGTGTTCAAACTACCATGCTAAGTGTGGGGAGAGATGCAGAAATCTATAACACAGTCTTTGCCTAGGAGAAACTTAAACTTTTAATTGGAACTAAGAGATTTTTAAATGTTCCAATAAAGTAAAAACAGAAAGTGGGCAAATTCACTTAAAATTAATACATTTCATCTTCACAGGCAATTGCTGTTTTTGCACCAAGATATCCTTACATCACCTGTGCCTGGAATATTTAACCAAATTTGGGTGGTGATGGCGGTTAGTATTTTAACATTTTATAAAGTATTATTACTAATTATTTGGGGGCAGTATTGATATAAACAGTAATTCTGGTATTAATTATAGTTCAAATTGAAGATGGTTTGTGAAGACAGATTATACTGTGTTGTAGTGTGATTGAACAATTAACAGACTTTAACTTTGATGTACTTGATACTTAAAATCCATTTTTGTGGTTTTAATTTCATATTAATTTTCTCTGTCATAAATGTTAAGATAAAGACTACTAGTGAATAAAATGTTACAGCATTACATTTTAAGATAGCAAGGATTAATTCTTTTCTCATATTGTGTTCTTTAGATTTACACTTAATGAAAAGGAAGAAGTTTCTCATTCCAGCAAATCTCCAATTGTTTTTAAAGAACATATATAGATCAACTTTTTTTAATCTAGAAATTTTATTTAAAAAAATTTTTACACTAGTAAAATTAGAACAAGAAATATGTTTTCCAGTGCAGTAACTGGAAATGATAATGAATTGCCAAATATCTTCATAAAAATACTACCCTGAGATTTTTTCTTTTCTTTTTTCTTTTTCTTTTTTTTTTTTTTTTTTGGTCAAAAATCTTTCTGAAAAACCTCCTACTCTGAGATTTTAATTCCCTGGAATCCAGTGAAATCAATATTTATGAACAGTGCTGATAAGCCATACAAAATCTTCAGGTCTTTTATTTTTCTTCTAGGTTATATGGTTATATGTCCAACTTTTTTTTCTTTAATGTAGTTTCTAAGAAAGACAAATTGTTGGTGAATAAGTAGATACTCATACCTCTTATTTGTGTTCTTTTGTACCTGAAAAATTTATGGAACAAGAAGGAGATTGTTTTAGAGTCCTAGAAATTCAAGTATCCTAATCTTAGCAAGAACAATAAGAGGAGAATAGCCATCTAAAAATATGTTTTGGTTGTTTACAAATATATTACATGCTGTAAAAAAAATTACGAAAATATTTAAAGTAGAAAATGGGATTATTATAAATACTGTTTTGAACTTGCCTTTCATTTCGCCTTTAACAGCCTCTCCTGGATACTATTCTGTGTCAGTACATATATCTTCTTGTTTTTAAGGCTGTGAAATATTTCATTGTATGGGTATAAAATAATTTTCACTGTCTGATGCATGTCTGATTTTCTAGTTTTGTGCTATTATGTTTGTAATTTTAACAAATAGTGTTACATTTTAACAAATAGTGTATGAAAGAATAGTGTATTTCCACGTTCTCACACTGGATATTCACAGTCTTTACATATCTGCCAATCTGTTAGGTTAAAAATGGTATCTTTTATTTCTTTCATTGGTGAGTTGGAGCACCTTGGCCTTTTGAATTTTCTTTTGGTCTTCCACTTATGTCCATTTTCCTTCTTTATGAACTTACTGTATATTAAGAAAGGTGTTAAAGGTGTTAAATATTTATTAAATGAAAGTGATTGGTTTCTTCCTTCATATGGTTTTTGGGTTCATGTCACCCCCAGAAAGGCTTCTCTCATTCTGAGGATATACCCACAGATTCTATGTCAGGGAGAGAATGATCATCATGTGCTTCTCCAAGGCTTAGAAGCTGTTAGGATTATAGCCCGATTCTGTGTCCTCTGCTGTATGATTAACATCTTTTAGGTATTGATTTATTTAATATATTCATGTTAAGTCATTTTTATAAATGTGGATTTTTGTTATAGATACCATTTTATAAAGCTGGAAAACTTAGTGCATATATTGAAAAATATGAAGCTAAGGTAAGTTTTTTAAAAGATAATAATTCCAGATGCTGTTTATATTGATTTTTGTATTCAGCTTCTTTTGTCAGCAAACAAAAATTGGAGCATAAGTTGTTGCTACGCATGCAAAAGAACCCAACAATTTTTTGCCCAAGCAATTCTTTTGTGCACATTTAGTGAAGACAAAGGGGAAGAGGCTTAATTTTTGTTGGGTACTTTCTTACAGTAATTTTATGTGGCATAATGTTATTTACCTTCCAAGAGGTAAATATTCCCATTTTTACAAATGAAGAAAATAAAACCCAGAGATAAAAATATTGTCTGTAACAATATAGTATAGGAACAAAACAGTATAGATTCTATTCTACATAGTGATGAGTTTCTGGATCTTCACAAGGAAAATATGAGTACATGGGTTGAGCACCTCCAGTGTCTCAGTTACTCAGGCCATGGAGACTTGGCCGAAGCTCACTTCATGTCTCTGCATGTGCATCCTTTGTTATTCCAACGGATTGATGCTCAATCTTTCTTTTCAGGGATACTTCCTACATAATAGTCACCATAGTCAGCAGATATATACTGAACATTTATAATATGCTGTCTAGGCATCACTGCTGGCCTCTATTCCTAGATCTAGTGGGGTTCGGGATAATGAGGTTTCTGGTCATCTCCAACAATACCCAGAGGTGCTTTCGCAGTTTCCTGAGAAATCTCTTAATTACCCGAAAGCTGGTTTCAGCCATTAGTCATAATCTATGGGACAGCTAGGAACAATGTCTAAGGGTTTTAGTTAAATTTTCTTGCTAAGACAAATCTGAACTATGAGAACCAAGTTTACAGTGTATCATTCACTAGAACTAGAAACTAGGTCTTCTAGAAATCCCTACAAAATTATGTTCTTTATTGTGAAAAGTGTTTCATGGTTTAGTGGAGACCCTTGTACTGTCTTACAGGTTGGCTCTTGGAGAATTTAATCTTCTTCTTAATATATTGACTTAAATGTCAAAATTGTATTGTTTTTTGACAGATGTGTTACAAAAAGTAGATATGATATAATTTCGAAGATGAATTCTAATGATCAAAATATTTTTAAGCATAAGAATAAATAGCATTTCAGTATTGAGTTAATCAAAGAATATTTATACCAAGTACCATCATTTTAATGTCTTAAAATTATAAGAAAAAAAAGAAAAATTAAGAAACATATATCTCACAGTACTTATACAGTAATAAAAACACAATTTGTGATTAATTTACTTCCAGTCTTTTAGTTTATACTTTCGACTTTATCACGGCAAATTATCTCATGTCCAAAATATTTAAAATCTTTTTGTTTATACTCTTACTCTTTTTCCACTTACCCAGTTCCTCATTGTTATAAGTAAACTTGCTTTGTACCCTCACTAGTCTTCCAGATCTCAAATGTCTTATTGTTCATGACTTTCTTCCCTTAAGGAGCCTTCACGATGATGCTCAATCTTTCTTTTAAAGGATACTTCCTACATAACAGTCACCATAGTCAGCAGATATGTGCTGAACATTTATAATATGCTGAGCATTCTTTTGTTTCTGGAGTTAAAGTTGTGAACCAGATAAACTCCCTGTCCTCAGGAATCTTATAATAGGAAAAAAATTTCTCAAGTTTTTGGAGTTTTTATGTAAATTTTTATTATTTCTTCTATAAGTGTTTGTTAAAATTCACCAAAAAAGTTATCTGGGCCTGAAGTTTTCCTTAAGGTAAGGTTTTTATCTACAATTTCAATTTCTTTAATAAATAAAGTTATCTTTTTCAAAGAATATGGCCATTTCATCTAAGTTGTCGAATTTATTGGCATAAAGTTACTTGTAACATTCCCTTATTTTCCTTTGCTGTGGAATCTGTAGTGATGCTGCTTCTCTCATTCCAGATAGTGGTCATGTGTGTCTTCCTTTTTTTCTCCCTGATGAGTCTTGCTAGAAGCTTAATAATCTTGTTGATCTCAAAGAACAAGCTTTTGATTTCCTTGATTTTCTCTGTTGTTTTACTGTTTTGTATTTCCTTGATTTTCATTTTTGTCTTTATTATTTCCTTTCATATGCTTATTTTGGGTTTAGGTTGCTCTTTTTCTAGTTTCTTAAGGTAGAAGCTGAGGTCATTGATTTGAGAACTTTCTTCTTTCCCAATATAGATGTATTTAGTGGTATAAATTTCCTCCCAAGCATATGTTTTGTTTTGATTTTCTTCAGCTCAAAATACTTTCAAATTCCCCTTTGATTTTTTTCCGTAATCTGTGGGTTAGAAGTATGTTAGTTTCCACATATTTGAGGATTTTCCGGGGATCTTTCTGTTGCTGCTTTCTAATTTAATTGTGGCTAGAGAACATGTTTTGTATAACTTAAATCTTTTAAAATTTATTGAGGTTTGTTTTGTGGCCTCGAATATGATCTATCTTAGTAAATGTTTCTTGTCTGCTTGAGAAGAATGCATTCTGCTACCGTTTTGTCAAGAAGTCTACGAATGTTAGTGTTGGGTCATGTTGGTTGGTGGTGGTGTTAAGCTACTATATTCTCAGTTTATCTTGTTTACCTATTGTATCGATTATTGAGGAAATCTGGTACAGAATTTGCCCCCAATTTTAGCGGAAGCGATCAGCAATGCCATCCTTGTCCTGGAAAGCATACAGGTTACCAGTCATGTTTATGACTCATGTTTATGAGTTATAGAATTGCCCCAGACTTCCTCCTTGCATGCCAAGGCTGAGTGTGGACTTTGATATCCTGCTGTGTCTGGTTATTACCTCGGGCCAAGGAGAAAGTAAGTATAGAATCAAGGAGAAAGCCACTTGGCTTTCTAAGGTAGATCCCGAGAGATTATGGGATTTGTTCAGCTGCTTGTGTTGGGGGCATGTTTGAGGTCCACATTGCAGGCTGGCTTCATCCTGCTGCTTAGAGTTCTGTCAATAGTAGCCTTAATTAAATATCTGTGAGACAAATTGAACAGATTTGATCTTGTCCCCTGCCAACAGATTAATTACTTGCATCCTGGAAAAATTTACCAGAAGCCAGAATGGTATAAAAATTTGGCTCTTCCAGGAACCCCCGTCCTGCACCACAGCCTGGAAACCCTCTTCAGTCAGTATACTGGGGTAATCATAGGTTCCCTACTGGGGTAATCATAGGTTCCCATCCCTTAGGGATTGCTCTTCTTTGTTGCTTGATGTCCAGTGTCTTATGAACCATCGTTTCATGTAACTCACCCAGTCTTTCAATTGTTTCAAGTGGGAGGATAAATCTGAATCTTATCACTCTCATTGGTCAGAAGCAAAAATCCTAATTTTACAGATTCCATACAAGTAGAGATACTTTGCTGGTTGCATGTGTGCCCATGTAAGTATTTCCATTGTTTTCTGACATTGAACTAGAGAAAACAATAATGAAAAGTATTACAATATAGTTCTGGTCTGGTTTTTTCCTCTGTGTAGATTAGAATACAAAGTAAAGTTTAAGGTTCTAGCACAGGAGCTCAAAAAGTTTAGGTTTATTGGCCAGGAGAAGCAGGAAGAATTTGGCTGCACGACCGTAGTCATGGTTTCACAGTGACTATATTTTAACACTTCTTTAGCTTTGGAACCAGATAGGGTTAGCTGTATTGAAGATGGTAACTTACATCCAGAATAGCCCCGTTTGTTGAGTGGTGATCTGACCACACAGACATTTTCTGTGAGTTTATAGGGACATACTGATTACTGTAAATTTGCCTGTATTTTGTCCTTTAATATTTTTAGGTGGAGGCACCACAAAGAGTAATTCCTGTGATTCTTCAAAACTGCCTTTCATATACACTCACGGCTAGACTTGCTCCAGCCTGGAATAAAACTGGCCATCTCTTAGTTCAAGGTGACTATCTCTTTCAGTTATTGTGGTTTTCTGAACTAGATTATTTCTATTAATGCACATCTGTTTTTAATTTCAAGATATTATTTTTAGGGGATAGTTTTTAAAGCATAGCCCCAGTCAGACCTTCTCAAGTCCAGAACGACATAAGTGTCATCTCCTTACTTTGGGATGATATCCAGAGACCTGCTGATGTTTCTTTAAAGAAAATGTGTTTATTATGTAATACTTGACATTTAGAGAGAAATAAATATAAGTTATGGAGCATTATAATAAAATGAACACAAATCATCAATATTTTTGGAATCAAAAGGCTGTTCTAGTTTTGTTTTGAGGTCTGACCATTTTCTAATTATTTTATACCAGGAAGTAAATAATTGAGGGAATGATTGGGTATTTCTGTCTTTTTAATTGAAGATACTTTTTGAGTGATTATATTTTTTCTCTGAGCTGTCTTCAGATATTCCTTTGTGTAAAACCTCATTTAAAGCATTTTTCTTAACCGATAATTTCACATAAAATATTATATTTATTATGATTTATGAGTAATAATAATATTCCATGTCCTATCAATTTTTTAAGGAAGAGAGTTTCTTTCTCAGATGGGAAAGCAAAGAGCTGTTGGTAAGTAAAAATGTGTGTCAATAGATAAAACATTAGTATAATCAATAGTTGTTTAAAAACACTATTACAGATTGTTGAGTTATTATGATCTTGATAAGGTTAAATCAGAATTTAATTATTTTTTAATTATTTATTTAATTATTATGATCGCAGTTTCACCAAGGAAATTACCTCTGGTTCAAAATATATATTCTACCTATATGAGAAAAATTCACTTCTCTTAATTGTAATAAAAGCTCTATTTTTTTATTTTTCCACTTAAAGAAAATTTTGACTATGGAGTTTACTTCTTTAGTCATTTATAATGTGTAGTCTATAATGTATAGTTTATCGTAAAAAATTCTTTAGTACTATTGTAAGTAAAAGCTTTGTTTCTTATGAGAACATCATTCTTTTTCTCCTTAAAAAACCTAAAATGACACAGATGATCTAAAATACACAGTTTATGATATGGTCTGATCTAAGTCTTTCAGTGCTATGCATAGCTGTGTTGCAGGTGAAGTTTCTACACAGTAGTTTAGAGATAGCAGATAGGTGGGAATCCTAAACGCAAGCACACGTCACTAGTCATGGCAGCTTGCCCCACCACCAGGGCACAGCCTTGAATTCCAGGCTAGCCTCTGCGACCCACGACTCTAGACCTCAATTGCCCTCTTTGCACTGTTTTACATGTAGTCGGACAGTGGCAATCACTGTAATGTAGCTCTGGACAAATGACTTCATTACCTAAATTAGCTTCATCCAGACACTATCAGGAGACTACAGCTGTCAGAGATTATAGATGACAGTTTAGGAGAGCAAAATTCCCCACTTCTGTGTTAGTTTTTTCTTCTTTTCATTTTACTGAATGTATATGCTGCAGCAAAACCGACAAATTGGAAGGGTATAGCTCATTGGATTTTCACAAACTAAACATATCTTTAAAACCAGTTCTCAGATGAAGACACAACTTTACCAATGCCTGAAAAGCCCCCTCATGCTTTCTTCCAGGTATTATCTCTTCCTTGGGGTCTTCAGGATCCAGAGTATGTCTGCCAGTATATTTGAGGGCATTGTTAGTGACAGACTGCCTAAGTCAGAATCATGGCATAGTACCTCTCCTGAGTTAAGACGACGGTCTTCATTTTTCACATATAGCAGATGTCAGACGTGTAAAAGAGACTTGCTGAGTTGTCCTCTCAACTGTAGGATGTCTCATTTTTCTTATTGTAACCCTGTCTTATGACATTCTTCCCAAAACACGCACTCACATATCCATGTCATTTCATGCCTTTGTCTCTTAGATGTCTCATCTGCAGACTGTCAAATATTACATGGTGATTGAATTTGACCATGTGTGGAAAAAATATCCATTCTTAACTGAGTTTCAAATTTGAATAAATTAAAGTAATTTTTTTGTTACTAAAATGCTTAATTTGATAGGATCGAGTAATAATTCCAGAATGTTTACAATTATTTTATTTTCAGTATTAAACATCAATGTAACAGAAACGCAAGTTTGTCTAAGTATAGAAGCTTATACAATCAGACTGCCACCACCTGAGGTACCACATATTTTGATTTCTGTAATTAACTTTACTATATTTACTGTATACTTAATATATTTATTATTATTACAAACACGCTAGTAGGTTTTAATTTTTAACAAGAAGAATGATAAGGTTTTTTTATTTTCAAAATCCATATTAAATTCTTGGCATGTTCATATCGTTCTGAACCTGTTTACTCAGAGAAAATATTCTAACACAGATTTAACACAGATCTAATCATACTATCCCCTTGCTCAAAAATCTTTTTAAGTAGCATTCAATACTCTCCACAACCCTTTCCTGCCTCAGCACCCACTTCTTGCCTCTTCTTTCACTTCCAAATATTGAAAGCAGTCTCAGCCCATGCTAAATGTAATATCCCCCCATCGGCATTCTGTTTGGATTTTTTTTTTTTTTGCATCTATTTTTTATGCTTAACACTTTTTGCCTTTGTAGTAGAAGGGTATGTATCTTTTATTTTGCTAATTCTCATAGCACCCAGCATAGAACCTTACACTTTAATGATAACTCAATAAGTGTTATTTTTCTTCTCCTATGCCAGTGGTTCTCAACAGAGTAGGGTAAGGGAAGATGAGTGCTTTTTCTCCCTATGAGACATTTTGTATTGTCTGGAGAAAATATTGGTTATCACAAATGGGGAGGGGTGTGTTGCTGCTGGCATTGAGTGGATAGAGGCCAGGGATGTGGCTGAACACACTAGACTCCCAGGACACAACCCTAGCCCCATCCCCACCCCAACAAAGAGTTATCCCGCCCAGAGAGTTAACAGCCTGCAGACTGAGAAAGCCCAGGCATAGGACAGATGACTCCGCCTTTGCTTGGAGCACCCCTGACTGGCCACTCGTCCTGCCAGCCAGCTCCAGGGCTACTCTATTCATTTTTCTCTTAACTTTAATTTTTGATGACATGTTATGTTGAGGCAATAGAAAAGTCAAAGATGAATCGGATCTACTTTCTAGCCAGTAGGGAAGCTGAGCTGCGTGTAGGTAACTGGAGCGGGTGGCATGAGGGGAAAACCTCATCCTGATGAGGCGCCTCCCCAGGGCTCCAAACCCAGTGCGGTCTCCAACCACTTTTAAACCTTCACACTCCTCTGCACCATGCTCACATACTTACTAGTATTTTTAGAGTTATACACCTCGTTTTTATATCCCCAGTTTATATGAAGCTTCTTAAGGACTAATTAATATACCTTACTGCCCTTTGATTTTTTTATAGGTAGTTCTGTTTTACATAACTGAGCTTAGAACCAATTAGAGATTAACAAAGAAGAGTAAGACATATAGAGATCAGAATGCCACCATTATTAATAGGATGAAAATATAATCTATCACCCAAAATGGACACTTTTGAGTGGGAAAGAGACACTAACTTAATGGAATACTGGTCCAGCATGTATGAACCGAGATATGTTAAAAATAAAATCAGATCAATTAAAATTGTTAAGAGTTTATTGTACATAAAAAAAGTTTGTGAAGCAGGAGTCTTCAAACCAATAGTACAATGAAGCTCAGAGGTGTGTTGTTACAGGTGTGTTGTTTCGTTTGCATAGAGAAAATGTGGAAACGATTTAGCTTTATAATGATTGATTATAGCAATGGGGTTTTCCAAATGACAGAGAATTGATTAAAAGTGATTATCTTATACCATTTTGGACAACAACATGTTTATTTATTATTTCATAGAGGCATTTATAAAAATAATCTAAGTTAAATTTTGCTTGCATTGCAAAATAAGATAGATTAGGTTTCACTTACATGGTTTAACTGGTTTTGTGTGCTTAAAGAATTTTCAAATTTGATCTCCATTTTATTTATTTTAATAGATATGTAGTCACACTATTTATTACAGAAAAAGGTAAACAAACAGCTATTGGAGAATGTGGCTACCTGAACCTTAGAATTAGGTAGATTGACCCATGTATGACCGTAATGGAACCCGCAGGCTCCCTTGAGAGATCAGGTACTATTCCCAATGTGGGAGAGAAAATGCAGAATACCACTTTTTGCCAGCAGGCCGGCTCCCAAGAGAAAGAGGAAGGATTTGTCCCAATTTTACCAACGAGATAAGTCACCTCGTCTGTGCTAGGGAGGAACGAATGAGGGCACAGCAGTGTCAGGACAGTGGAGCTTTTGCAACATGGACACAGACACCAGGAGTGAGGAAGATGCACTGCTCTTTTCTGCTCACCATTATACACTCAGTACATATTTGTTCAGTTCGTTTAAACTGATTTCCTGAATTACAGTTTGTCATCGGCACCTCTGAATCTCGCTTTCCTTAACATTTTTGATACGACATTTTTCACATCGTGACTGCTATAAAAATTAGTTCATGCATGTCTATGAAACAGTACAAAATAGGAATCTTGATTTGGAAGATAAGGAAAGTATGAAATACTTCATACACTGTGTGGAGGAGAAACAGGGTGAGCTGAAACGTTGCATTATGTCAGTGGTTATTCATGATCTCATGTAACTTAAGCCTTTAAAATTACTTTATAATTGTGCGTGTACAACAAAAACTGTGTTTTTTAATGTTTCTTTTTTTTCCCAAATTCTCTTGATTTATGCATTAAAATCTTATTTCTATTAAAAGCTAAGAGAATTTGATATTTCTCAGAGTATCATAAAGAATTTTGATACTCACAAGAATGCTGTCATTGAGGGACATTCGATTTTAAACAACTGGTGCTACGTTTTGCCAAGGTGAGATTTCAATGTGTAGTGTCTAGGGGAGGTCCAAAGTATACTAGTTTTCTCTCACTTTGCTTTAACATGGATGTGTGCAAAAGTATAAACCATTTTTGCGAATTTTTGAAACTGAATTACAGCTTACAAAAAGATTGAAACAATATTGTCATAGAAGCCATCATTTTCCTTTATCAGATTACTAAAATAATTTTATTTACATTTATATTTTTATTAGATCTAGTTTTAAAAAGTAAAATTTCTAGATATCTTATGAAATTAACAGCTAAATATAATAATCTCAGTAAAACCTTGTAAACTTTTACATTTAATTAATGACTCATTATTATTTGATATGAGCTAAGTTTTAAGTTGGTGCTGACTTCAGGGGAAAATGGCTTATTATTAATAGAAACAGGACTATTGGGAGGAAATTTTAACCTGCTTTACAAAAAAGAACTTTAACGTGCATAATTTAATCACCGAAGCAGGAAAGAGGTAGTTGGGGAACATAGATTTGACTCTGAATCATTCAACTCTTAAACTTTTCCCTAGTTTAACAATTACCAGGCATCCCTCTGTGTGGTAATGTTTTATTAGTCATTATTTTATGTTTGTAACTGGCATATTGTTTGTGTCAATTCAGTTTAGTTTTTCATAACAATTCTAGTGCTTAAAATTTAATACAATATGTATTTGGAACTAGAAGCAAATGATTATTTTATTACTTATGTGTAGATAGTTGCTAAATTTTTTTGAATACTTTCTAAATCACAGAGTTAAACTATGTCTAAGCATAGGCTCACAATATTTTACCACTCTTCTTTTTCATAGTATGAAAATGGGAAAGATATTAAGTATTCTTCATACGGCGCCCCCTGACTGCCCTTTTCGCTCATATGGAGATTTCCAGATGCACTGGGATGACTTGGTAAGGGATAGAAATATATATTCTATAAGAAGTTATTTGATTTTGCTTCATATAATTTAACCTAAGTTTAGCTTTTCCTCAAGAGAATTTCAACTTTGTTCTTAATTTTTAGTATGGCTATAAACTTCCAGAAGATTGTGGAAATATTAAAATATACTGCAACATCTACTTCAAAATGATAGGAGAAAGGAGCTTTACATATCCTTTATGCACCATTTGTGGCAGGCACACTCTGCCCGCCTTCTGATCAGTTTTTCCCTTGACTCTAATGTTGTCATGTTCGATCTTTTCTGTGTCTAAATGAAACTACTTTCCTTTCTACTTCTTTTTATCTGCCTGAGTGTTTTTGTTTTCCTTAGAATTTTCATGTTTTTATTTGAGGGTAAGTTTAATAGTGATATTCTGCTCCTTAACACTACTGTAACGACTTAGATAACAAAAACAAAAACAAAAACAAAAAACTGTACAATAAATGGGAAAAAAATGTTTGTAATTCCTGGTAGGGGGAAAATAATCATAGGACTCTCCTTAGCCAAGGGCTCCCTCCAGTGGCACTTTGGGAAGAAGTAAAAGAATTCGTTGTTTAACAAAGATGTTTCTTTTTGGAAGATTATTTTGTTTTACAGGCAACATTTTGAGGATTTGACTTACACCTAATGCACCCCATTGATTTAAGAAAATATCTTCAGGTTATTTTTTTTAATCTACACATGAAAAGAGCACAGATGCTCAGGTGAAACTTCAGCCATCATACCGATTTCACCTTTCCTGTCTCTGTTCTGACCAGCTGGAGTTTCCACGTAGAAGAGAGGACAGCCCTCTACTCTCTTTCTGGAGTCTGTGTTTCCTAACCCAGACCTTAATATGAAACTAAAGTTGACAGATAGCAATTATTCCCTTTCATTAGATGTCTAGTCATTATTCCCAATCTTCAGAATATTTTTCATCAGAAAAGTAACTGCTTTCTTCAAAGAACTGTTTTTAGAGCATGAATAAAAGCTATATGTATCATTTCTCTATATTGAGTTTTTACTGCTTTCTGGAGATACAAACTCTTTATTTACTATAAACACTTTTATAAACTATAGAGGTCATAGCGTCTTTCTTATAAATAATTTTTGGGGTGCCTGAGTTTGCCTGTTTATATAGAAAGCAGTATAATAGGGAAACAATGAGTCGTCTTGGTTGCACGTATTAAACTAGAATAATGATCCCTGTGGGAAAACATGCTCTTTAGCTTTGCACTGTGATCTTGGAATGATTTGGCTTGGAATAAATAAGCGATAAATCAAACAGGATTTAGTTATGTGTGCCTTTTTAACAGTCACTACCATAATGCTTGTTCATTTCACAAAGATCGCTGACTCCTAAGTACAGAAGTGCTCTGTTGTCCTTTACCGCCACTCACATACCCTCTCAGTTGCATCAGAAGCCAGCCCATACAGTTCTTTCCAAGGGTAGATTTGGAAGACGTGTTGAAAAGTTTTCTTTCAGATTTAAAATCTAAACTGCCCCACGTATGTGGATTTCCCATAAAAATGACAACGAAACCCTGCTACTACACTCAAGAGCTAACTAAACCACGTGTACAGGTAAGAGACTTGTGCCCAAAGTGCTTTTGTAATAATGGTTTACTAGTCTATTTCTTCTAATTTTATGTGTGCTCCTGGAGGCTAGAGATCATGTTCATCTTCTTATCCCAAGTGTCTGTTACATAATAGGTGTTTGTTAAATATCTTTTCAGTGAATAAATGATCTTAAAGATAATTTAGAAACAACGCCTCATACAAATCCAGATTGACTTTGAACTTCTGCCACTTCGTTTAAGCCTCATTGATTGAAAAAGGCTCTGAATAATTCCATTTATAGAAATTAAATTAACAACATTTTTATTGCAAGATGATGTGCTAAGTGAAATCTTATTTATGAAAAACAAGTAACAAGCAATACTGATAAAGAAAATATGATGTCATATCTTTACACTCAAATAAGATCTCTTTGTCAAAAGAAAACAATTTAAAAGAAAATTTTCGAAGAACAAATCTAAGGAAATTTAAAATGTAAAATTTTCAACAATATTATATCTTCGAAATGATAAATAATTGTTTTGATCAAAGTCAAAAGTTTGAACAATTTGAACAGTTTGAGATATAATTGAATTATGTGACTATTTCTGCGTCCGCTCAGTCTCCTGTCTTCGACTTATTAGTGTGCCCTGTTTATTGTCGTTTGCACTGCTCCAGCAATTTCAGCTTTCATATGGTATTGACTTGCTATGGCTCAAACATTATGCCTCATGGCATTCTTTCAGCTTTTGCTGCCATGCTAATTGTTTCACTCTCTATAATCCCCAGCTATAACCCACCGAGCCAGTGTGATAGACCATGTTCATCTTTTCAGGCCAGGCCACGTCATCTGCCACTAGTCACCATGTAGATTTAGTAGTATTGGGTGGGGCGCCAACACCACGTATATGTTACGTAAAAATACGAAAGCCTTGATGTCAGGGGCTGTGGGCAAGGCCATTTCCTTAGAAGGGAGTGCAGGCACACGAATCCCAACTACATCTTTATGGTAATGAATCTTAAAATTTTGCCCAGATATATCATTTTTAAAAGTTTAATTGCTGGCCAAGTCCAAGCCTGAGGAATTTAGAAGATGTGTCATTACATCATACATTTTTATCAAACATATTTATTGACTGCTAAATATTTCCAGCCCATGTCTGTTTCAGAAATAGTGAATCCAGACAAGTACTTGTGAAAATTTGCTCCTTAAATCTAAAATAACACTTAGTTGGAGATTCTGGTCTTTATATTGCTCCTGACAGTTGGAACCCTGACAGTAAAAATTTCTTCCCCTCAGTTTTATTGAGTGCCTTCTGTGTGCCAGCTGCTTTTATGTGTATTAACTCATTTAATCATCAAAATAAACTCTTGAAATAAAGAATTGTCTTCTCAATTTTGCAGAAGAGGAAACAGAAGCTCAGAGCATCCAAGTAATTTAACTGTAGCCATACTGTTAAATACACTGCAGAATGAGGATTGAAACCCAGAGTCAAATTCTTAATCTGAAACTGGAAAAGGTTTAGATATGTGGTTAAGACCCCAGACTCCAGAGACAGGCTGTCTGGATTGGAATCGCTTTCTACTTGTATAATCGTGGGCAAGGTGTTTGATCTCCCTGTCCCTTGGTTATTTCAGTTGTTAATGGAGTGGAGTAGTGGTGGTAATAATGGCACTTGTCACCAGTTGGGCTCTCTGAGGACTGACTCTGAAATGGAGTCAAGTGCATGTGGTATTGGGGAGTTGGGGAGTTGCCCTTGGAATTAATACCTGCAGAAGGCAAGGAAGGAAGAGAGATTGGGTGAAGGGAGAAGTTAAACGCAAAGCAGGTGCCAGATAGCCTTGGTCAACCTTCTAAGGATTTCCGAGGCTAAAAACAGCCCTTCATGGTGGGTCTGCATTGGCTGAAGTAGCCAGGCCTTATACCCCCTCTTCCATCTGTCATTGGATTTGGGCCACCCTGAGACAGGCGTGTCCTGGAACGAAGGGTGTCTTCAACTGAATCAGTCCTTGTAGGGGACGACTGTGAAAGGTGCCTCCTGTGTCTGCTGCCAGCACTCTGGGCAATGGGCAGCAGCCCTTCCTTGAAGGGGATCTGGGCAGCATGCCACCATGTCCTTCATAGGGATTTTATTTGTGTGTTAGGAGATTATATGATACCTGGAACAGTCCCTACGCTTAGCGCTCAGGAACTGTCGGTTCCCATGGTTGCTACACCATGTTAGCTCTAAGATGCATGTAGTATTAAAAAACATAAGTTAAAAAAGTGAAAAATAAATTGATAAGATTGTTTGATAAAAACTCAACTTACTTAAAAAAATTAGCAGATGCACTTAGCCAAACTAGTTTTTTGTTTTTTTTTTTTAACTTAGGGAAATTCTCAGACTTAAATTAGTATATTTAGTATAATGAACTCATGCCTATCATCTAGTTCCTCCTTGACATATTTTTGAGCGGAGGTAATGAGTATTTTAAACAAATCCCAGATATTTCAAGACTTTAGTATGTGTTTCTGCCTTACAAGAGCTTTTTAAAAATGTATTTAATAATAATTCCTTGATATCTGATACCATATCATACCCCAATTCCCCACTGTTTGAGAGATTTTTTGTAGGGGTTTTGTGTAAATCAGAATCCAAGCAAGGGCCACATCATTTTATTTGGTTGTTGTACCTCTTAAGTCTCTTTTATTCTGTAACACTCTAAACCTACACCCCTTTATTTATATCAGTTATTTGCTGGAAAACTGGATCATTTGCCCTGGAAAATGTCCTGTATTACAGATTTGATTGATTGCTGCTTCGTATCATGTCATTTAAAGTTAATATATTCTTCTAAACTCCATATTTCCTACAAACCTGTGGTGAGATCTAAGTGTAATTGAATTCTGGTTTATTTTTAATAAAGAAACACTCGGGTTATGCAATGTACAGGACCAGATTGTAATAGATAAAACATTCGATTGGTCATTTTGGTCAATCCTCAAGTTTCATTTAATCATTACCTTAATTCTAGGCCTCCATTAGATATCCCTGCAGATCTAAATATAGGTTTCCCTCTCTAATTTTGTGTTAATGTACAAAGTTATATAAATTGTATATAAAGTTCTAGAAATTAAAAGTCAACTAAACCACATTTGCCAGTAACACCTGGCAGAATAATGGTAATAATGTGGTAAGGCATGTTTTTTTATTGGGTTATGACTTCACAAAGCTTTAGTTTGTTGACCATTTAGGTATTTTAAGTTCTGTAAATTATTTATGATCTCATCTGTTGTTTACAGAGGCTCTTTTTGTAGTCTTATAAATTTGAATATAACCATAGAGGTTCATCCTTTGGGCTATTTACTATAGTTTAGAAATTGAAAGAATGAGTAAATAATACATTGACAAGCTAGGGGGCAGAACAGGCTCCTGGAGATTGTTTCCATCAGGTATATGTTTCTGAGAGGCGGATGGATAAAGGGGAAACAGGGTATGAATATAAGCATAATTTGGGTACATATTCTAGATAAGTTTTATGTCGTAATACAAGTAATCTATTATATGAATCTGCATAGAATGAGGTGGGGTTTTCTTTTTTGGTATCTCAAGTAGTAGGTATGTTGTTTAAAAGTTATTACAATTTATGAAACCCCAGAGTCCAAAAAGATGGCTGTTCTTTGATTTTCTATGATTGATTTCAGCTTAGTTCTTGAACCCTTTCCTCATCTAATGGAAAAAGATTCCACTTAGACACTCTAAGATGACTCAGTCAATTCTGACAAAACATCTCTTTGAGGTGGATTTTCATGCAGAGTTCAGAATTGCTTTCCTCCCCATGACAGCATCTCTGTCCAGGGGGAGTCTGTGGAGGGCGAGGGCTGCGGTGTGTGCTGGATGAAGCACGTTTGATGCGCTTGCTTACTGTGGTCCGCGTCAGGGGAATGAAGGCCCTGAGCTCTGTTTGCAGGCACCTACAAAGCTGGTGTGCAGACACTCAGGTTTCTGCTGACTCTGCACCTAAAAACCAGAGGTATTCATGATTAAACTTTTCAGCGGAAACCACAGAAGCGTGGCTTTGCCTCAGTTCTTCCTTCCGAATATTGTATGAATGCATCTGGCTGGTTGATCCTAAGTCTCGTCTTGAACCCTAGCTGCAAAGGAGATTTCCAGGCTCTAGAAGGAACATTAGCAGGAAGGCGGGATGAGTGTTGAACACCAGTTCACCATGTCCATCACAGTCACAGCTGCATTGTGGAGGGGGCGGAGTAGAGGGAACGGGGTTCTGAACAAGACAGCAGCATGAGCACATTTGGAGGACAGCGGGTAGCTTCTGTAGTTGATTTATATAAAATTTAGAGCATTTATCATCTTAAACTATTATCATGAAAGGATGATATCTAAAGAAGGATGCAACCCATAAGAAATACACATATGTCCTCAAGAAGGCTCGTTCTTTTTTTACCTGTTTTATATATGGTAGTGTTACTTTATGTTCTTATTTTGATGCTATTTTAAATAATTTGTATTCCATTGTCATTATTATATTTTTTAAAGTTCTTAATGTCTGTCCTTTCAGGAAAACAAAGTAAAGGCACCCAATCTGACCTCTAAACAAATGTTCAGGTCCTGTCTGACCCAGGCCCCTTCCACACGACCCTCCCTGGCTCAACATCTGCCGAGCTCAGTAGCCATGGACCACAAGGTGGAGCGTTTGGTCAGCCAGCAGAAGCCCTGCATGTCCTCAGCTCTGCCCCTCCAGCTGCAGTCCGTTCAGAGCAGAGCTAAGTCCCTATCTGACAGGGCACTACAAGCTCACTCGGAAGTGCCAAAGCCTCCCAGAGGAGATGATCCTCAAGTCCAAGATGAGAATTTCAGCTCCCAAAGTAGTGTTGCCCCTCAATTCATACCAGTTTTCAAAAATCAGTCTTTACAGATGAACAAAAATATCTTAGAAACTGGAAACCTGAAAAGAAAACAATATGTTACAGAATCTAAGTTGTTTTCACTTAAAACCAGTGTGATCCAGGATGACAAACTGAATTTAAATCCTTCTAAAAAAAAAGGATCTAATCGTAACACTCAGATGAATGCTAGAAATTTAAACCAGAAACCTAGACCTCTGCAAAAGAAAAACACCGAATCCTGTGAAAATATGACAAAATCTCCACCCCCTAATGGAAAATCATCAACTGTGAATATAAATGAAAGTAAACAGTTGTCCGATAGTTTAGGATTTCAGATGTCAAATAATAATTTAGGTTTAATTAAAAGTGCCATTGACTTCCAAGTGAATGGAAAAGAAAATTTAAGAAGCAAATATGTAACACAAATGTTAGGGAAAGGACACGAGTCACTAACAGTGAAAAGACAACCATACATTTTTGAATCAGACACAGAAATGGAAAATGCCCCACTGCCACAGCAACAACCAGTAAATCAGACTGAAGAAGCTGATGTCAGTTACCACAGACTGATTATAAGCAGAACAGCTCACAGGTCTAAAAGAAAATTATGTCAGGACACTTCAAAATCTTCAAAGAAGCCTCATTCCAGTAATACCTGTCATGAGCAGTCCACCTCTTCTAGGAACCAGGTAAAGAAAAAACAATTTTAATCTGGGGATATTTTTCATATAGTAGACCTTTAAAACCCCTTAAATAAAGATCTGAAGGATTTGCCCAAGATCCTCTAGGAACACATTAAGAGACAGAGTGTGTGCCTTAACATAACTGCAGGTATGCACAGTTACTTAATTAAAAATGTGATTTTTAATCTGATTGCAGATACATGACTTGGCCAAATCAAAACCTAAGAAATCTCTCATCATTCCTAAAGCTTACAACATGGACGCGAAAGAAGGCACTGTCCATCAGGTAACTTAGGTGATATCTTTTATTTTTAATTATATTATCTGAATTGAAATTGTCCAGCTTAGGGACCTCCAGCCTCTTGATAAGAAGGCGTTACTCTTAAATTCCTTGAAACCTAGACTCAGCAAGGAAGTAGGAGATGTTGGGAACAGTACAGCCCTTGTATAAGGACTGCCTGCAGCAGCTGTTGCATACAGCAGTTTTAATCTGGGGATATTTATCGTATAGTAGACCCTTAAAACCCCCTAAATAAAGATCTGCAGTCCGTTCAGGGCAGAGCTAAGTCCCTCCCACTCTGTTCCAGGGTCTTTGCAGACTCAGAAGGGCCCAGGAGCAGCAGCAGATGCCTAAAGCTAGAAGATCCCACACCCACTGGAACACGCACCTTTAGGGAATCTTAAGATAATTAACCTTAAATAATGTTTAACTTAATGTAATCATTAAGTTAAAATTTACTCCAAAATGTTGCAGTGCTGGCTAAAATTAAGATTTAGCTGATAATGCTGGCACTAAATTCACAAAACCATGTATCTGGAAATTACATTTTATTCCATTCTGCCATCTGTTCTAAGAACAAACATATCGCTAAAATATCCACAAAAACTTTTTGCATAGAACTATGGAAACACATTGAATTCAAATTCTTTATAAGCAAACTAGAAAACATTGTCTTCTTTTCTCTTCCAAATGCTATTTCTGTAATTAATAGAATTTGATTTGAATTAACCAAAAGGTACTTAAGTCTGTTTCTATATATTTTATAGTGTTGTGTTTCACGTAGTTTTTCACATCTTACATTTTAATGTACTCAGTAGGTGGTTAAGGAAAATGTGTATACTAGAATGCCTTAAAATTTTTCATTTTCATTTTTAAAATTATTCCAGATTTTATAATTTTTAGATGTATAACACTTTCCCGCTTCGAATTACTTAAGACCTAAAAATGAAAGGCATTCCCATCACCGAATGACATAAGAAAAATTATAGGATATTATAGAAACTAATTTCCCTTAAATATAAATTAATATAAAGCCCTATAAAAAATTTGAGAAATGCAAAACAGTTTTAAGAAAAAACGTTTTTAAAACTACCTATAATTCCTCTTTGCAGAGATAGCCACTCTGAACAGTGGCCGGACACAGTCACACACTCCCGTGAAGTGGGATTAGGCTCCATAAGCTGCCGTGAGACCGCCTCTTTCACTCGACGGTTTTCTTTTCCATGGTTACACGGTTCGTTGCATGAGGATATGCTGCTATATTTAACTGTCCCTACTGATGGACGCTTAAGTTCTTCCCAACTTTTCACTTCGGTAACAATGTTATATAGTCTTGTACAGATGTTTGCAAAGTATCCAATTATGTAGTAGTTTTGTTGAAAATATCTTCATCTTGCCCTTGTTATTTTTATTGAAATTTATCTGAATTCATTATTTTTATTATTGAAATTTTCAAACCATGCAAAGTACCAGTAATAGTATAAAGAAAACCTCTAATTACCTGTCGTCCAGCTTCAACCATCATTAATATTTTGCCACTCTGTTACATCTATTTCTCACAGATGTATTTTTTCACTGAACTATTTTAAAGTAAATTCACTTCAGCATATAATTTTACCTGTAAATGCTTTAGTATATATATCTTTAGCGCGTAAGGGACAGCGTATTTTTAAAGAAAAAAAGAATATATATACACACATTACATTTGGAGGGCATCTACTGGGTCTTTATTGACTCACTAAATATTGCTTTAGTTTAACAAACTAACAGAGAGCCCTCAGTAAACATACGACCTATTTCACAGAAGAACTGGAGCCTTAAGCCACATAACTAACATGTTGACATGGAGATTTATTTGTTTAGACATCTTCATTAAGTATATGCCATGTGCCAGGCAGTGGATGAAGCTTTGGGTTAGTGAAATGACAAGACTGCCTTTGGCCATGTAGTCTAGTCTGGTCTCCGGCAAATCCATTCTGGTTTCCTGGCAAAGATGTAGGAACATATATGTATTGAAGCAAATGTCAAGAATGGCCTTTTGGTCTATATTACAAATAAATTATCTAACATATAAAAAGAAAGAACCAGAAATAGAGCTTCTCACTAGTATTCTGGCTTTCGAACATTTTGGATGTTTAATTTGCAAAATGTGATGTAATTTTTGTGGTAAGATATTTAAAAGAAACTGAAAATCCTCATTAATATTCCACTGAAATAATCCTTCATTAAATTAAACACACACACACACACACACACCAGAGAGCCATGTATAAGTTGAACTTTGATTTTTTAATGTGATGTACTGTTTTTGCTCTTTCACTAAATCATTGCAATTAAAGGCAAAAATGAACATGAACTCAACTTCAAAACTGTAAATGTAATTCTTGCTCTTGAAATTATGCCTGGTTAGTTAATTTACTATATACCTTACTGTAAAGCATTTCTGTTTTCCAGAATTATCTCTTATTTTATGATTATTTGACCATTTTCGGAAATGGTCAAATAATCATAATATAGGGAAATACATCTAGTTTAAAGCCCATTTTGAGTGTGCCTTTCACATTCTAAAACTGCTGTGATAATCAGTAGACTGCAGTAAAGAACAGAATGTCAGTTTGTTTTTGAAGCTCCGGTGCAAATATTTGTTTGTGAAAGTACAATTAATAAGTATATATGTTTAGTCACTCAGTCATCCACAGCAGGTGCTCGTCCTCTGCTTCATGTATCCCGAGGCTGCCTTCCTGCTACTCACCAGCCATCATACCTTAGGTCATGAAGACTTACATTGTTACACTAGGCACAGTGGTTAAAAGGTGAGTCCACTGCTTGAGTGGTATGGAGTGTCTCCCAGTTCTTTATATAAGTAATCTCGATAGCTTCTCCTCCACTTCTAAAACTGAATTTACAGTATAGCATATCATTTAGATAAACGTTGACCTACATGGCAAAGCCTGCTCATGTTAGGATCAGTCTGTTTTCTGGTGTTAAAGAAAGTTTATTTTCCATCTTATAATAGTTATCCTAATGAAAGTTAATCCCCTAGGAAACACACACATACATATATATACACAAATACATATGTATATATGTATAATTTATTATAGAGACACATGGACAGATTGATTGGTTGTTTATTTACTATCCATGCTCAGAGAAAAGATTCTAGACTAAATTACTGTGGTCAGATTCACTGGAGAAATCCAGGAAGATTTTGGTTCATTTTAAAGATTATGTTTTTGAAAGCCATAATAATTCCAAGTCCAGTCAAGGAAAACAAATCGTAGTTCCTTGTTTAAATTTTTGATGATTTATATGCATTGTGGGCACCCCACTGCCCTGCCCCAAAATCATTCTTCACATTCCAATTGTATGTTAGTTTTTATAACCATTATAATTTTAAAACCATAAATAAATGATTTTATGTTATCCGAATCTTAGATCAGCCACTGCATTTAAAAACCTGTGGCAATAAGCCAAACTTAATGTTACAAATCATTTTCATAGAAATGTAAAAATGCCTGTCGTGTACAACTCACATTTTAAATTTCACAGTATTTGTTGCTTACTATATTTGTATTTTCATATCATATATTATAATCATTATATTAGACATTATATATTATCTGTATTTGTTACGTACTATAAAAATAAGTTTAAAAATTAGGTTTGTCTAATCAATTCACTAACCAGATTTTGCTGTTTTTCAAATCGGTCATCATCTGGCATTACTTGGTAATTGACAATATATTGGGTGGCTGTTGATATTTAAGAAGGGTCAGTATTTATAAATGTTTATAGATGTCATGGTCACTATATATTGATGCTTAAATTGTTCATGTTGTATCCAACGTAGTGTCTTATTTTAAATAAAAAAAATAAAGGTATTTCAAATAGACGTATTCGAGGCGATGAGAAGTAGCCGATTCTGGATATATCGTGAAGGGCAGAGTCACCTGGTTAGGGAGGTGAGAGAAAGAGAGGTGTCGACGTGACTCCAGGGTGTTCGGCTTAGCAGAGTTGTTTCAGCTGTGGTGAAAAGGATCAGGCTTTGGGCTTAGGGGAGGGCTGGGCATCGCCGTTGGATTTGACCAGAGGAGCAAGTCTCTTGGAGCAGTGAAGCCAAAGCCTGCTGGGTCAAGGGAGGGGCGGGAGTCACGCGCGGAGACAGCTCCTTTGAGGAGGGCCGTCGGTGGACTTCACATTCACCCCTAATGGCATCATCCTTTGACCACCCCCTTCTTGAAACGCTGTTCTCTTCCATCTCCGGACGCATTTCTGTCTCCCTTACTGGTTGGCATTGAGTACACGTGGCTGAACAGTAGCCATGGCAGACACATTTGGGTCACAGGAGGAGAGGGCAAAAGGGCATCCAAAGAGAAGAAAGAACATGAGCAAAGGCATGAAGAGATACACAGACAGGACGAAGACTTAGGTCTCGTGACACTCAGTGCAGCATTCTTTCTGCTAAAACACATTGCTTCACGTTTTCAAGGACTCTTCAATGTGTGACATAAAAGAAGGATTTCAGGATACGTCTGCGTGATGATTTTCATGGGTATCAGGAGTCTCCGGATGTATACAACCGCTTCCACCACCTTTCTTCAGACTGGGAGTCTTTCCTTTACGCTCCCATTTCGCTCAGGGAATCTCGGGGTAGAGTGCGAGGGAGTGGGGGTGGTATGCGGAGCTTACGCGTTAGGAAAAGCCCATCGAGAATGGAGGTGTGTGGGAGCGGGGTCCTCCCCGTCCTCTTTCCCATGAGCATCGCTCCTCATCTGTGCGGGGCGGCACGTGCCTGCAGCTCTTCCCGGCTCACAGTCCCGAGAACTAGCTGAGAAACCAGCGTCAATTCTCACAGCTGCCAGCAGCAAGGCCTGTCCTCTCAGAGGTCATGACCAAGTGTTCCAGACCCCGGTGCTCACACATGGCCCCTGCTAACCGTGCCCAGGTCATGCAGTGCTTCGTAGATGAAGCCACAGGCTGCCAGAGCCCTCTGTGCCCCCGTG